GAAATCGCTTTGACTGAGGTTTTCAGTTTGTGTGAGTGCTTGAAGAATGCATCTTTATGCAAGTATTGCTAGATATGACTTATCTGTGATTTTTAAGGGATTTAAACCTGGCATGACAGCTAAAGCGAGTTGTGTATGCTAGTAAAAGAGAGTCAAAATACTCAGGATTGTATAGATGACTTGACAATGCTGTCACATGGCAAGAAATAACTTCACAATAACATGTGTAATTCCCCAGCCTACAAGTAACACAGATTTTGTTGCTTTATTCAGTTTTGCCAGGACATGCTTTCTGCTCAGCATATACTGTAGATGGCAGTAAGTTTATGCTAGAAAAGGCTATGTGGGCTGGAATAGCTAAATTAAAGGATGTGTGTAAAACCTATGGATGGTTTCAGGTTTATGAATCTAAGCCACCTATTTGTAGCAACTCTAATACTTACTTGAAGCACCTCCAGAAAGAGCTGGTTATTGTTTGTCAGTTCTGTTAAAGACAAGGCCAGCTTTTTCTTTCCATTTTGTTTGGTTCTGCCTGAATTTGTTTGGATGTGTTTAAAAGCAATCAGACATCTTTTCAATTTATCATGGCAGATGTAGAACACAGCAGTTTGTGGATTCACAGACAATTCAGGCACTCCTTTCTCTGGTGTGGGGCCTGAGTGAATGGTTAGTGACAGCGATAGCCCCAGGATTTCAGGACTATCCCTGTATTACCAAAGTCTTCAATGGCCCTTTTTCTCCTTTGTGTTTGCACACAGAAAAAAGGAAGAAGTACATGGTGCCCTTGGCATAGCAGTTCCTCTCTGGTGAGGTCTGCCAGGTTTAAGAGTAAAGCATGGTGAATGCTGAGAAGTGCCCCACTATGGAGACCTTTTTTTCAGCCACGCTGACCCAAAAGGAGACTCAAGAGGGCCTCCTGACCCTTCCCCCAAATAATTTTCACCCAACTCCGAAATGCTGGCTGTAGTTTGCTTTTCTCATTTCCTGCATTGCCTTCGGTGGCTGGTGTCTCTTCGTCCATTATAACCCTCCAGCTTCCCATGGTACTCCCTCCTTAAATATGTTCTCCTGTTCCTCTGGTGAGTGCCTTCTCCAGACAGAGGTTGACTGATCAAAGTATTATCATCAGTCCTTTCCTTAGATACGGTGCTGTGAACTCACACATATGCAGGGCTCTGGACTTGTGTATGCCTTTGCTATTTATTTGCTGTTTATTTATATGAATGTGCACACACACATATGTCTGTATATACAGAAAGCAAGGTTTGGGAGAACTGAACAATATTAGAGACTCATTTGCCTGTGAAACATGGGTTGGAGACCACTGGCCCATTAAAAACACTCTTCACAAATTAGCTTACAGCAATACTCCCGTTCAAGCTGAGGATCTCTCTTCCTCACTCTGCTTGAAATCCAGGACTAAGTCCCAGCAGTGCTGTCCTAATCGGATTTTCTGAGTAAGGTCTTTGCATTAGCCACAGAAGAGAGATCAGAGGCTGTAGGTCTTCTGGTGTCACTTCTGCCCTGGTGACAAAAGAGTCAGTATATACTCAGCCCCATGTTGCACCGATTCTCCCGCTTTGGTCCACGTGTCCTCCTCCTCATTACCCCTGTATCTCCTCACTATATCTTAAACTCACTTGTTCTCTCCAGCTTGCCACAGGCACTTATCAGCCCTCACCATATGGGTTAATATTGCTGCCATTTTAAATGAAATCATTTTACTGTAAGGAGATGGAAATGTGGGCTCTGTGGCCTCTTGTGAGGCAATGACTATGTTGTGATTTCTTCACGGCCATTACAAAAAAAAAAAAAAACCCAAACATCTCTCGTGATGACAGGGACTCTATCATGTTAATGGGAACTATGTGGGGTTAACATTAAGGAAGAGTACCCCATAACAAAGCACATCCTTGCCTTTCAGGGCTGGGAAATATATCTAATCCCTGACCACTGTGTTAAAAAATATAAAAAAATATCCTTAAGGTCCGGTTTCTCTTTTGCTTGCGCTTAATTTAAGTCTTCTACATAATTCTGGATTATCCACATCATTTACAGCAAGTAAACATATATAGCTTTGTCGTGGAATCACCACTAGATGTAGGATTTCATGCTTCATTAATATTTATTAAGATCTTCAGCTCTCTTCTTTCACTCTACAGGAAAGCTATACAATAGCTTTCTGTATCCAGTAACAAAATAGTAAAATACCAAAACTATCATAACCAACTTTTAAAGATAATTCCTGAAGCAGATGTTCACAAACAGACGATTTTTATTAAAATAACAGTGGGAAAGGGCTTGCTTTTGTTTGTTTGGCCCTTGAGGAAATTAAAAAGCCTTTCTATAATTTTGATTATAACTTCAAGAGAGGATTTTATTGTACCAAGGATGTGGTTGCGTGAAGGATGGAAACCTTAAGGGTTTAAAACCTGTTTTTAAAAGCTACAAATGGAACTTCTCTTGTTAATCTTAGGAAACAAAGTCCTGTGGCAATTTTGTTTTCTAATGTTCAGAACATGTAGGTCTGTTGTAAAAACTGATAATACAAAAATGGCACCCACTTCTTTAACCCACCTGCTCCCTGAGCATATGTATGGACTATCTGCAGATTCCTGTGACTAAAATAAGTACCTACAATTCATCCGATTGGGGCAGAACAATGGACGAGTAGTACGTTCTTACACTTTTTTTTTCATTATCAATAAAATAATTCACTTCCATCTTAGACTGTGAAAATCTAGGGAAACTTTTGCTATTGGCTTCAAGTCTATTGAGCCAAAGTATGTTGGCATTAATGGTGAAATTTCACTGGGATTTTGTGATGACGCTATCGTGAGGGTGTCTTCTGGAAATACATCCTTTGCAGTGGTACAGCTTGTAGGTACAAAAATGACGAGTAATGATATTTTTCTGCTAAAGAAAGAACGTGATCTGACTTCTAGAGCAAGTTTGAAGAACAGGGAACTAGAGAAACTCTTCTTTAATTCTTTTTCTGAATCCTTGCATACACTGTTCTGAAAGATGCTAGGAGATGAGGGAGACATGGCCCTCCAACATTCAATAGTGTCGCTTTTGTGAGGTAGTTTTTCAGAACAGAACCACCATTATCTATGTATTTGCATGTATTGAGCAGCAAATAAAGCTTTGCTTATGATAGATGGGAAAGAGACTGTGTCCATAGTCTGTGCACAAGACTATGAACAAATGACTTTTAAGGTTTAGTTCCAGTTACTTGTGGGGGCCTCTGGAAGGTCATGGGACCTCTGTAAAATCGAGATTGTAGGCATTTATGTGTATCTCTACCTATTGTGTATTTATAAAGTGGTTGTAGGTCTATGTGCAATGTACATCTATGCACTCAGCAGGTTACACCAATTTCTAAATTAATATCGTGCCCCAGGGCTATGGTCCATGGTTATCCAAAAAAGGGGCTTGTTAGACCACGCTGCAGCTTCTGTGTCCTTTGCACAGAAGCCAAGCAGCAGAGGTAAGGAGCGGTGAGAGGATGGAGTGTGTCTGGTCTCACGTTGCTGTGAATTCAGGATGTTGTTGGCACTGGCAAAGACCTGGGCTTTAGGAAGCTCTGCTGGAGAAGCACCCTTAGCAGTTTGAACAAGCTGCCTTTCAGACCTCTGTGAGTTAAAATATACTTGAAGAAAATTGAAGTTGCTGAAGAACTGAAACTAAAAAGCCCAACTTAACAGAAACTTAGTAGTGACAAAACAGCACAAGATATTCCTACATATAGCCAATTTGGGAATAAAGGATGGCAATAACTGGTTGATAAAGGACGAGTAAAGCATCATGTTTTAACCAGCAGGAGTAAGAAAACAGGTTTAGAGTGGTAGGAGTTACATAAATGTTTAATTATGATGAACTAAATATTGATTCAATGGTCTCAATAGTACACTGCTAAGTTTGAGGAGTTATTCTTGAATGCTTACCAAAGTCTGTTATTAAAATAATTTTTGTTTATTTGAAAGACTAAAAAAACCAGAGATATGAGACATTTTATCCAAACTGAAATGAAAACCACTTGCATTTTTTTAACTAAGTACAAAGGTTTAGGAGTCAAGAAGACATGCAAAAGTCATTATCAGCCCTGCAGCATTTTGAAAGCTTGTGGAGGAGTTATTGTTGATGCTCTGCATTTTGTAGGATCAAGCTTGTATTTTGCCTTCTGAGCTGCAGATTGCACAACTGGTAGCAATGGGACAAGGGAAATCATTTAGCAAAAAGAAGAGTCTGAAGCTATCGGTTTCCTCCAAAGCATCTTAACATAAATGATCTTTAAATAGAAAATTTGAGACCTGAACTTAGAGTGATTACTGGCAGGAAGACAAGTACCTGTGGTTGCACAGTGGTGGGCTGATACTTCTGGAGGCAGGTATGCCGAAATGGCAGCGAAGCTCTTCAGAACAGTGGTGGAGCACTTGTGATAGACAATAGACCATGTTGGCTTTTCTGGAAGAGGAGTTCTTCCAAAAAAGGCTGATAATTGGAATTTGGATGCTGGGAGGTGGCTGTACTGTATTCCTCTGATCTGTGTTGTTTTGCGCAGTTGTGGACACTGAGAGCACAGTTCGTAAAACTCTGGCAGCGTTTGTTCAGGACCCAAGTGCTAGCCTGGCTTTAGGTTCAGATTCACATTTTGCATTAGTCTTTATTTCAAACCAATAAACCTGCATCTGCCCCTTCTGATCTGTGTTTATTAGAAATACTTTATGTGCATTTTTTTTTTAAAATCATGTTTCATATAAGAGGACTCTTCCCTCAGAGCAATTCATCTATAAGGAGCAGAGTACTTGTGAAGATTTGGGATGGGATTTAATCTCATTTATATTTATGTAAACAAGGAGCTACGGTTCCAGATTAGCACTAGGAGAAATTAGATATTAAGACCTGTGCTATTGTTTTCTGCACACCGTTTTCTGACAAAGTAAGTTTCAGCTTAATGGTACTGTTACTTACCTCTGTCGTCTCTTCTTGATTTGCAGATGGGCTTCTTCCGCCGGAGGTACAAAGAAATTATTGAAGCTGAAAAGAGCAGAAAGGAGAATGAAGATAGTTGGGACTGGGTCCAGAAAAATCAGTGAACTGCCCCTGAAAACTAGAGCCCAGTCATGTGACACGTGCTTGCTAGCCTATAGGTCCTGCTCTCGTATCTTCCATATGTGGAAGAAGGAATCTTCTCCAGATTTTTCGGAGACCCCGTTGATGCTGTGTCTTTATCACTCCAACAAGCTAGGGAACATATCCTGAGGCAACCACTGCAGCCATGTCAGGTGACTGGAGCAATTTATACTTCATTTAAGAGCTGAACTTTGAACTTTGGTAACCAAGCTGCAGTGCAGAGCAATATTTATGAATCCAGCTATGTGGTATACCCTCAGGGGAAGACTTACCTAAAAATATTTTTTATAAATATAAGCTTTTTATATTGATTATGTCTTTATATTTGTATCAATGTTTTATAGTTTCTATTGAATAGCTATATAGTTCACTCAAGCACTGATATCTGGCTAAATCCTTGGAAATACATATATGTATATATAAATCCTATTGTACTTTTAAACTTCAATGCAAGAGAGAAAAGAGATTTGCAGATAAAGGTAGCTGAAATCCTCATATGCTTACTTCACAAGGCTTGGTAATGTTGTATATAGACCATTTAATGACAATAAGCCAAAGTCTTTTCACTATCTCTTTTTTTTTTTTTTTGAGTTGAATTTGGTGTTTTATTTATAAACTAAAGAACCTAAAGTGTTACACAGATGTGATGTTCTGTATCTGAGTCTATCCTTTACTGGCCTGAATGGGAGAGGATGAAAACGCTTCCTCGGTGACACATAGCAAGACTTGTAGCTTGCTTTGGCTCACTGAAGAAAGCATCACAGAATGTTTTCCTTTGGGACTTTTTTCTCTTGCGGTATCTAGTACTTTGGTAACAAGCTAGGAATGTACAATTAAGATACCAAAAGGATATAATTGGGCCAACCACTATGGCATTGACAAATTTGTTGGAATTAAAAACAAAAGAAATTGAGCCATATTAATGTTAAGAAGGATAGTTTTTAAGCTACTGTTAATGATTGTGATCTGTTGCTATTAAAGCAAGTGATAAATTCCTACAAGATATGAGCATTATGCCTGCCTTGTGAATTTTATACACAAGTCATGAGTTTGTTTATATGAAAATTTTAAGAGAGATAAGTAGATGCAAGGGTTAAAATGTTTGAATCTTTGGATCTTGAGATTCCCTATTTGGATGTTCCTAGTACTGTATGTCATCCTTCCTGAAGCATTAAGAAGGAAGTTTAGTCAAGGTGCAAATGTTACTGGATCTCAGATTGCCACTTTGCTGGTAATTCCTTAGTAAATAATCTGTTGAATTAGAAGAAACTTAGTTGTAATTAATTCAACCATGTTTCTTCAAAAAGCTCTTGGATTTCTGAATAGAAATAGTACAACTCTGTTAAGACTTGGTTTTAGACTCTACTTGTACTTTGCACCTTGTGTAATTAAGAAGTAAATGTCATGTTGGTATAAAATATGTGTAAGGGAAAGAAAGATCAAGGTCTGTGATAGAAGGTGAAGGAGAAACAGGAATGGATTGTTGCAGGATGTCTCCTTCCATAAGGGTAGGGTAAAAGAACTGCTGGAAGTTTGCAAACTTGAATGCAGAGAACATTCAAGAAATCTGCTTGAGAACAGGCCTTATTCTTACTCTTCCTTGCCAAATTCATTCTAGCTTCAAATTAAAAAAAAAATCAACCACACCCATATTCCTGTTTGCCTTTTCCCCCCACTGGCATTAAGTGCCTGCTGTTACTGCAGTATTGATCAATATTTAACTTAACTATCTGCATCCATTAGGCAGAAGATGTTTTTTAAGTGAATGAAGTGTATTGATTCAACGTTTGACATGAAAAGCTATTAGTCTATTCAGCTATCTTTCTTAAAACAATCATTGGTGATTTGACAGATTTCATATAACAAATTATCATTTAAGCCAGAATCGGAAAAAAACTGCTGAGGCAAAACCCTGTTATAACCACATGTAGTGGACTGCAGATTTTTCGTCAGAGTGCAAAAACAAAAGGCTGATGGCCTCTGACTGCACTGTTGTACTAGAGGCTATTGAAATCCTCACAGTACGATATTTCTGGCATGGGTTAGTTTTGCAAGTATTTAAACCTAACATATCTATTTTTTCTGTTGTTGAAAATTACTGCCAGGAGTTGGACAAGAGGTTGATTCGCAGCTATAAATTGAATAAGAAATTGCTTAAAATACTTGCTGAAAAGAAAGAATTCCATTTATTTAGCTGTAAGAATTTCCAGTATCTACTCTCTCTAAAACTGAGCCCCCCTTCCCCCCCAATTATTAAAAAGCAAATTTGCTGAAAAAAAAAAATTCAGGGGGACAAGTGAAACTATTTGTGATTTTAACTGAATTTGAAAGTTTCCATCCAAAAAAAGGAGGAAATTCCCTTTGAAAAGTTGAAATGCCTTATTTCCACTTTTTAAACAAAAATTTACTTTCAGATCTGCCAAAAATGCTTCATTTCAATATTTAAAAAATCAAGATTAGTTATTCCTTTGAAACATCTTTTTAAAGTATATGAAGAAAAGAGTTTAAAAAGGTAAAATACACATTTAACAGTTCATATTGTGTTGGAAAATTATTACTTTTTTTGGCTCAAGGCAAAATTTTTTTTTCTTATTTGGTCAAAGTAAAAAACAAATAAAAGTAAATCCCATTTGACTGAGCCCACACTGGACTTTTTTGATCTCTGTCTTAAATTGTCTACTATTGATCCAGCACAAGTCATCACACGGTGAAAATCTAGTTGTTGGCCAGATTAGTGACATATTCTTGAAATAATTCATAAATTCTTAGTATCATCACTGTTAGGTACTCAGTAGTTCTGTTGTCACAGATGCTTTTGTTTTTATATGTATACTCTTCATAATTTTTTTTTTCTTTTTTCTTTTTTTTTTTTTTTGTTCAAATTCCATTGTGGCTCTTGGTTGGTTCCAGTTAGGAGAGTCAGATTTGATAAAGAAACATACCAGTAGTTAGAATTAAAATCCTCTAGATGCACCTTTCCACTCCATAAAAAGCAACCAAGCAAGCCAAACAAAAAAAAAAAAAAAAAAAAAACCAAACCACTAGTATCAGTTGGTTGCAATCAGTTTCTAACTCAAAAATCTTATGAAAACTTAATATACTTCAAGAATGTGTAGAAAATAGCTGTGCTATAGATCTGCTGGTTTGTGTTTTGTTTTTGTTTTTTGTTTTTTTTTTTTTAAATTAAGAAATTCTAATAAATGTAATTGTATCAAAATCTAGAGACATGGTTACTTTGGAAATTGCTTCTAGGTCTCTGGAAGTTCCCATCTGTCAGCTGCTTGTTAGTTCCTTTGTGCTGTACCGCTTGCGCAGCAGAGCTGGGGAGGTCACTGTAGCAGTTCTCTCCAGTTAATCCATTTTGGGACAAAGTCATCAATTGTCTTGGACAATTTCATTGAAAGGTTTGCTGAATTGGCATTGCATTTGTTTTGCAGCAGGCTCACTTTGCACTGGCTCTAAGCTATGCAGGTGGAAGCTTAGAAGTGGGGCAGTAACGTTTTCAAATGCATCACCTGGCACCTGAGAGATCTTTTAAGCCCTGAAGTTTGCAATGTGCGGGGTGTCTTCTCATGGATAGGACCCTTGAAGTTGCTTTTAGGGTAGGAGGAAAACAATGTCAGAAAAATATGATCAGGAAGAAAGCGGGGAAGAAAATTAAGGAAAAATTCCCTTAACAGCCCATGCTGTTGCAGCCCCATTTAATCTCCATCTTGAATTCAAGATTATCACAGTCATTTCAGAATTTTAGTGGCCCACAGCACAGGGACGAATTTCACTTCCCGAGAGCTGAAAGCATTTGCCGCTTTTCACAATGTAACTCATGACCATTTCATTTGAAAGCCAGGGGTCTGCTCTTGGAGAGGTGAATTTTCATCAGTTCAGCCCAAGTAACAGCGTACTCTGAGGCTGTCGCTAGTATGCTCTGGTACTTGGCCATTGTAACTAACAAAAATACTAGCTATGTTTCTCTGAATAAATCTAGTTTGTAATTTGCTTGGTTACAATGAGGAAGTCAGCAAACTAGAAAATATTGGAGCAAGCTCTGAATTGAAGTCACCTCACAAATCACCTGGATTACCTGAAAGAGAAATTGTGCTTGATGTGAACACCAAGCCTGTAAACCACTTAAGCAATCCTTTAATCTCAAAGTGGCAAAGGCTTTTGCAGTGCCGAGCGTACCAGTGAGGGCAACCCTCTCTGCCTTGATACAAGAACGAGAAGGACCCTACACAGAAGTCAGTGATGTGCAGGTGTCTTGGCTTGCTGAAAGCAGCAGTTGCACAAAGATTATGTTTGGCAATATTTAGTATCGACTTTCTTGAATGTCTTCTGTTTATGGGCACATTTTTGAGTCTTGCACCAAGTTTCAAGCGTAGTATCCATGTGGTGTGGGAATATATAGCATTGCTTTCACTGAAGGATTAAGGGAGTCATGGAACTGGTTTCTACCTTTGTCCAAGCTCATCCACTCGCTCGGGTTTCTTGGATATAAATGAAAGTAGAATTTGGTTCATTTAGTGTACATTGATTAAACTGGCATGAACACTATAATTGCTTTTGGAGCATAGTTTGCATACACAGTAGGGTACCCACACCATTGTCACTCCCTTTTCTTAGAATGTCACTCCTTATGTATTGTAAAATTGTATGTTTCTCTTTGTGAACTTGTGGTTGGAAAAATGTGTTCACTCTTGTTGATGTCACCTGTATTTAGAAGCTCGTGTTCACCTGTATTCTAATTCACTTGCACTGTTTTGGAAATGTCAGGTTTACAAAAATACAACTTTTTGGAATAAAAAGTGGTGGCAAAATTATCCTAATAATATCATTTTGTCAGTTGTTGTCCTTGTCCAGCTCAAGTATTTTTCCATTAATTGGGTGAGACATTTTCTCATGTACGTTTGAATTAAATGGTATGTGCATGTGTTTATCTGCGTGTGGATAATGGACATCTTTTATCATAATTCTATGACATGTATAAAATCAAGGTATTTGGAGACTAAGAGTATAACTAGCTTGACCGCAGTGGGAATTATTTATATGTCAACGGTATTGCTCTGTCAACATCAAATAAAATAAAGCCCCACATGGTGGTGATACTGCCCTATGACAAGAGTGTCAACCTGTATAACTTCAGTTCTGTTTCAATCTTTATGGATTTGGATGAGCGTCAAATTACTCAGCCTCACATATTTCTTCTGCAAGGTTTTATATTCCCTGAGTAGCTAAATAATACATCTGAAAGTTTTTCTTCAACTCCAGCCACCCCCATGCTTGCTTTGTCTAAGGGAGTAGAAGCTGGACAGAAGCAGTAAAAATAGCTGATTAATTTCTATGGCTGTGGTGTGGTTGTGCTTCTTGACACCCATTAGAGTCCATCAGAGTGTTCTCAGCATTCTGAGGATGGGTGAAACCGCTGTGGTAAAATATGAATTGACCTGAACCTTCATTCTAAAACAAATCAGATAAACTGAACTTGAAATTTCAGGCTCTTCCCTTCGTCGTCTTTGGCTAAGTTCTCTGCTTTTTGTGGAGACCCTCTGTGTAAGCATTTAACTGATCTCCAGCCACATGGAAATGGTCTGGTTTCCTCTGCATCGGGCTGTTGGCTCAGTATCTTGAAACTGGCTGGGCAGAGTTAGGACCCAACCTGTGACTCGGAGCACGTTGGTACTGGTGGAAGACCATGGCCTCAGGTACCACGAAGCCGAAGGCATTAGGAGAGCTCCACGTAGATGTGGGTTCTGGCATGTAGCAGCGCCCTTCAAAGTAAAAACAAACGGTCTCAGTCAGGAAAGCTTTCTTCAGGGGAAAGAAAACATTGCTGGGCAAAAGCAGTGGGAGGACGCGGCTGCTGAGAGGAATGCAGTGCGCAGTTTGCTTTT